AAAGACCACCTGACTTGTTATCAACAGTTTAAAAGCCAGCATCCATGATGGTATGAGGGTGCATTAGTGCACATGACATGGGTGACTTGCACATCTGTGAAGGCACCATTAATTATGAACAATATATACAGGTTTCGGCAACATATGCTGCCATCCAGACGACGTCTTTTTTAGGGAAAGCCTTGATTATTTTAGCAAGACAATGTCAAACCACATTCTGCACATATTACAACAGAATGGCTCTGAAGTAAAAGAGTCCAGGTGCTAAACTGGCCTGCCTGCAGTCCAGACCTGTCCCCCACTGAAAATGTTTGGCATCTTATGAAATGAAAAATATAACAAAGGAGACCTTAAACTGTTGAGCGGAAATCCTGTATCAAGCAAGAGTGGAAAAACATTTCACTTTTAAAACTACAGCAGTTGGTCTCCTCAGTTCCAAAACACTTACAGAGTGTTGTTAAAAGAAGAGGTGATGCAGTGAGAAACATGCTCTGGCCCAACTTTTTTTTTTAAATGTGTTGCTGGCATCAAATTCAAAATGGGCATATATTTGTCATGAAAAGTTCAGATAATGTTAATGGCATGTAGTGTTTTGAAATGGCATAAACAATTGGAGTTTCAAGGTTTAGATATAACAGTGACAAACAACTACAAAAAAAGCAAATACAGGCTTCTTCCTCCCAGCTTGGTAGCGTAATGTGAAAGGGGGAGACCTAACAAGTGGGTGGAACTGGGCATGACTGAACTGGGGAAAAAATTGGGAAAATCCAGGTTACACAAAGTACCAGTATTGGAACTAATGATTGTATTACCTCCCCAACACGCACACACACATCAGACAGACTGTCCTCTCAGTATTCAACGAGGACTGATTCTTCACCTGTATGCTTTGTATATGATAATGTTCATGTCTCTACGCATCTTGAGTCAGACGTGTAACAAGCACTGTTTGATTCACCAATAGGCAACATAGTGCTGGCCTAATTAACTTGAATAGTTGTGTATTAATTTGTTACATTGGCCTTCAATTCTGTATTAAGTATTTTGAAACTTTGTTTTTTTAAGCTGTAAAAATAGTCTAAGCTACAACATATTTCATCAGCAAAGACATTTGAAAAGAACAGTTGTTGCTAATATATGGAAAATGGAACAAATTACTAATTCAAAGCTGGTTTAGTTAAATACATCATGCACTCATCATCTCAATTATGGAAGTATAGTGCTACTAGTCTGTGGTGAGTTGGTGTTTCAAGGGCAGAGCTACATTTTGTAGTAGTTTTATTTCAGACTCTCTCTCTCCCTATTTGTGTGTGTGTGTGTGTGTGTGTGTGTGTGTGTGTGTGTGTGTGTGTGTGTGTGTGTGTGTGTATGTATGTATGTATGTATGTATATATATACTGTCAAATGATTAGGCCATGATTAAAATAATTAATATTAATAATTTAAACAAATATGTATATATTTAGTTGCTCCTGCATCAATATCGAAATACATAGATTCAATTTGGTTATGAGGGGATGTGAAGAAGTACCTCAAAATTGCATATATCCAAAATATGTATATACCATATACTTCTCCCATACATCTCTGTATGTGACTGATACCTTTAATTCCAAAGCATGTCTGTAGGTCTACAATAGAGGTAAATCTTTAGCACTGCACTGTAATATACATCTCCCATCCCCCTCTTTCTTCTGTCCCCAACTCTATCTCTCTCTCTTTCTCTCACACACTATGTCTCTTTCTCTCTCTCTGCTGCTTTTTCTTGTACCCTAGTGAACTCTGTTACCTAAGACAGCCCCACTGGAGGGGGAAGGGATTGGTGACGTTGCAGCAGATGGGAGGAGACTGTGCGTGTGTATGTATATGTGTGTTTGTCACGCTGGCTTCAGCGACTGGTGGATCGAGCGGGTGGTGTACCCAACGGGGATCTTCCTGACAGGCGGAGCTGAAAGGCGCTTTTGCAGCGCCACATTGTTTTGTAAGCATCCGACTAGCCTTTAGGCCATCTGGGCCATTCACCCTCATTGATGCCTCTGTCCTGGAGCTAAGAGCGCAGTCCGTGCATGCTAGGATGTGCGTTTTCTCTTCTGAGAAGAAGAGGAAGAAGGTCCTCCAGAAGAGCGTGTCTAGCCCTGGTCTAGCATTATGAGTGAGTAGAGCTATGTGTGCTTCTTCTGTGCTGAGTCAGAATGAATGAATGACTAGCCTGCTTGTAGCAAACAGTTGAAGTACAAAAGCAAGTTGGAAGAGTGAGTAGAAAGTGGTTTGTTGAATCACTGAAACTTTGCTGTGGGTAGGTTTTTCCTAATGGAGTTTGGAGGAATGCTTGACTTGGTCTGAGTATACTTTTAAAGCAGCTCCTGGAACAAATGGATTGCGAAATAGTTCAACTTTTAGATTTTTTTTATTGCTGTTTTGTTTTTCCATTCAAGTGTAATTATGTAATGTAAATGTAACTGTAACACATTTAATTACATAATAAGTTGCACAATGAATTACATTTACTTTCAGTTTACGCTCAACAGGTTTGAGTCTACACTTCTAAACTTTTTATTTGTCAAGAAATGACAAAACCATGGCCCAGATGTTTTTTCTTTCCCTAAAACAATAGCATGTCGTCAAATTCAAATCATAGTTAAATTTTTCATCTTCATCTTTCAAATTCAAATATAATGTCAATTGAAAGTTTAGAATTTACACTGAAGAGAAGGGAGAATTTCTCCTGTTGATTCAGTGAGCTTTAATATTGAATTACACCATGTGATTTCTGTGACTTTAAAGGGTTAATTATTTGTAGAATCATGTCTGTGGTTGTTTGGTAGCATGTAGTAAGCCTTTGTTCCATGTGACCAAGGACATGGTTTCACTTTTCTCTGTGAGTGTGGTGATATGCAGGTGGAGACTGAGAAGTGTGTCAAAAACAATGGTGCCTTTCATTTCAAAGTTGGGGGGGGGGTCAGTAGGGTCCAAAGGAAGCTGAGGGAAAGTGAATAAAAAGATGAGAAATGGCATGTAGTCAAAAAAAGACTAGAACAAGACTTTATTTGATCTGAGCTATATACATAATACCAAAATAAAGCACATTCCTAAGGTCTTATTACTTGCTGGACCTTGCTGGAAGTGGGGCACAACATTTATGGCACCTGAGTAAGATTGATGAGGCTGAGCTGAAGGAATTATACAAGAATGAGTGTGGTCTGAGGTTCCAAAAATAACAGAAGTCCTCTTTGGTTTGGCTGGAAGTTAAACAGAAGTGCTTTCTGGTTTGACTTTTAGAAAATAAAAGGTTCCTACCTAGTTCTAGGCTTGGATGTGCAGTTCTATAAAAATTTACTCTTTACATTATATGTAGGTTCTCTGAACTTTAAGAAGGATATTCACACTCACACATCCTGTTTACACAGTTGCTTCTTTGTAGAACCATCCATTGAAAGGTTCTTCAGGAAACCACAAGGGGTTCTTCTTTGCCATCACAACTCTTTCAAGCACCTTTATTTTTAAGGCTGTAGCAAACGACGGTCTCATAGACAGAACGTCTGATTGATCAGAAAATCAGAATCAGAAATCCTTGATTTGTGGTAAAATCCATATTTGTCACTTATAGCTGTCCTCATTAACTTCATAGTCCTAATTTTGTAACAACTCACTGACAAGTTCAGCCTCACAGTCACAGTTTCATTTCAAAACCGATATGCTAGAGTGCAGTGACAAGAAAAAGTCTGTTGTTGTTCTGTAACGTACTGACTGCATTGTGTATATTTAGTACATACTTTAAATCTTATATGTTTTGTCTTATAAGAAGATTCATCCAAATCTGGTTACCACTGAACTTTGGATCTAGTTAGTTAAGATGAAATGAATGCACTTGCACATCTACGGAGGTGTTCTGACCAAAGTTATTTGGAAGACGTCAGAAGCATCATAATTTGCTTAAAAGTGCTGGCAAATAAGTCCCTGTGCGTGTGCAAAAGATTAATCACCCAGCTTGGGAGAAACAGGTATTTTATAAATAGTTACATAAGAGCATGTAGAATTTGTTTGTAAAGTTTTCAGTATCAAGTGTTGGGTGTAGAATGCAAGAGAATGCAAGGAATGCAAAAGGAATGCATTTCTTTGTTCATTAAAAACATTGGCACAGTGTATTGAGCGTTTTGCGGGTGAGCACAAACAAGCCAACCTTTCAGTACTGAGGATACACATATAATTACTTTTTAGAACTACTGTTTCCTTGGAAGACATGTGAACATTCATATACAGGCCATTTTATTAGAAACACTTATTTTGCTGGTGTACAGTACATGTATCTGTTCAAGCAGAGTTTGTATTGGCCAATCTCTGTTACTTCATCAGTGGTCAGTTTCTTAATAGAAATGGGTCTTTGGCAGGATGTTTTTAGGTGGTGGACCACTCTCAACTTGGCAATAATGTTTATTTAAAAAATGACAGCATCTAGTAAGCGCCACACTCATGATCATCACACATTATCATGCCTCTCCATTGTCACTGCTGTGCTGAGAATGACCCACCACTCAAATGGTTACCAGTAGTGACATATTGAAAAGAAAATTCAGGACGTTAGACCGAAAATCGAACCCAAAAACCAAAAGAAAAAATGCTTTTATATAAAACTTGCCTTTCTTATGCTTTTGGTTTAATGTAATAATGCTGACAATATTCAATATAATAGGCAATATTCACCATGTTGGGAAAGAGAACTAAAAAAAAAGGAGAAGCAGAGAATTCTTTTTTTTGTTTGTTTTAAACAAATACAATTAAATAATACTAAAATGATTGAATATATTAAACATTTAAATACAATAATTAAAATATTAAATATAATTAAATATTATTATATATTAAAAGTTGTACAATTATAAAAATATAATAGTTAATTTCGGTATTTGAATACTGGCATCTCACAGCAGTTAACCTAGTACTCAGGTACCCATGCACATCCTTAATACAGACAAGAAAGAAATGGCACCAGAACCTCAGTATCAAATAAATTTATCTGTTTATTAATTAAATAATTTAAGTTACACCAACCCCTGTTTTTCTTTCTAGCACACATAAGTGTCACTGCTCCAATTAGAGGAGTCTACAGCATGCAGCTTAACACTCTGAAGGACTCAACCCCAAATTTAAAACTCAAGGACCTCAACAGGACACTTAGCTAACACCTCTGTAATAGTGTCACTGACACACATATGAGCCACATTGCATTTTTTCCTCCTGTCCCCCCTCCTTCCTCTGCTGTGGGCTGTGTTATGAAAGGGTGAGAGAGGAGCATCTGCGGCGACAGTGGACTAGTCGTTAACCCCCTTGAAAGGGCCCCAGTTCCAGCGTGTGAGATTATGTAAGGCAACCCTAGTCCTATTTCCTGGTTTGCGAGTCTGTAATTCACGCTGCCCACTGCAGAACACATGAGAGAGTCCATAGACACACACATCCCACCACACTCTGACGAGGACAGGCGTTTCAGATAAAGAGACAGGAAAACAAGGAAGTGTACAAATACGTAGCAAGACAGTCAGCTTTAACAGGAGGCAAGTGAGGGCAAAGACGAGAAGAAGTTTCTTTGCCCTGAGTGTAGTGTGTTCAGGCTCTTGACCAGCTGAAACAGTGCTGGTGGGAGTCCAGGCAGTAGCTGACGGGTCCGTGCCTGGCTTACTCTGGACAAAAAGAAAGCAAGAAATTCAGACAAACAGAGAAAAAAGAGAGAAACCGGACAATTAAGAGGAACCGGACACCCCCCTGTGCACCCAACAGCAACCATGCTCCTGCTGGACGAGTCCGACTCCCTAACAGGTACGTGTCCTCGCCAGCGCTTCTGTCACCCTGACACTGACCTCCTTTCTCAGCAGCCAAGTGACCCTCTTGGGTTAGAGGTAGATCCACAGGTCAACCGAAGAGCAGTCAATAAGAGTGAAAGAGATCATATAGCTACTAGATCAACAGGAGGACAAGAAAGAATGACATGGACAAGGACTTTTTGAGTAAAACTGAGTACGTTTTGCCATTAAAGGTTTACCCAGTTGCTGAAGTGTGACATTGGAGGCTAAGCTTGTCCTGGGATGCTTCATGCTGCTGCTTCTGTTCAGTGTTTTGAATGTGGAGGTTGTGTAACTTGGGTAAGTAGAGGCAGCTGATTGACTGGGAGGGAACAGGATGACTTATTGGAGCATATGATTAGTAGATCAGCATTTCACACCTTGTTTACTTAATGTAATGGAACATTACTGAAGATGCACCCTGATTTTCAGTCACTGAAAATAGTCAGAATGTTTCCATGGAGAACATTCTGCTCCACCATTTAAGAATAGCTTGTTCATGGGGAATTTATAGTAACTTGGACCTTAGAGACACTTGTTGAAGCTTTAGCATCTCACCACTATTGGAACGGTCTCTCTTTTTGTAATCCTGAAGCCTAGATAAATGTACAAATTTAGAACAGATGCAGTTACTGGTGCTGTTTCAACCTGGCATTGTAGCTGGCCTGGAAGGTGAAAACTTTGGATGATGTCATATGTATTTACATGTGTATTTGAAGCTCAGTCTTTCTTGACTGAAAGAGGACCATCAAATGTCTCTCTATAAGGTTGCACATGCATTTGTGGCCTTACAGTGAAGCCTGAGGTGCTATCAAAGTTTGAATCGCTGCCATAATTTGCTTGGAAACAGCTGCTTTTTCACAGCAACTCCTGTTCCTCAGGCATCCCCTGCCTTCCCCAAGCAAATGACTTCATTCTTTGTCTTCCCTCCTTTACTTCAAGAATCTTTAAAACTGTCGTTGAAGTTTCAGTCTTGAACAAACGCGTACTCCCTTCCTCCAAACTTGAAAGCGTGCTAGAATTTGGACGTCGCAGCAGGGCCATGTGGCTCGAACCTTCCTGCCTTTCCGCCTGCAGCGGACTGAGCAGGTTACACAATGTTTGTGTCAGGTTATGGAAGCGTCACAGGAGTGTTTCAGCAATCACGTCCGCCGGGCTGCTCCACACTCTGGCTTGTCTGTGACACACTGGCCCAGTTCTTAGCCCCAGCGCAGCTGCATGGCACTCGCTTTCGTAACACCTGAGCAGGCCCACAAAACTGAGCGCTGTGTGGGGAAATGTTGAAAATAAATTTAATTTAATGTATTCACAGTCATATATATACATTTCTTTAAATATTAACTCTTTGAACCCTAGCTTTATTTTTGAGTTATTAGTCTGAAGACGTATTATTCACTTACTCTTATGACTTATTTGCCATTATGATGTCATAATATGATTTGGCAGAATGATGTCATAATGCTATAATTGTGACATCAACTACTTTGATGCTAATACATAGTTATTTAGTTACATGCAGGCTAAGGATTTCAAAAACAAAGCTGAGAGACTGGTTGTTTGATCACAGAGAGCTACTTTAAATGGAGCATAATCTTCATAAGAACACCTTCTTTATTACTTAAAGAAGGTGTTCTTATGGAGAACATACAAGGTGCATTTGTATGTCAGAAAAAAAACACAAACATACATACAAGTGCACACTGTCTGTCTTCTGAACTACCTGTTGCATATCAATCTTTTAAAAACAAAAAGACACTTGAGAATCCATCCACAAGCTCTTGAGATTCTTCGCTTGTTTGGGTTTTGTCAGTAGATATCTTCTCAGTGTTCAGTGTGAAGGAGTCAGGTGAGTCACTCTAGGATCTGTGCGTAATAAATCTCTTAAAACAACACTTATCTGAAACATCTGTGGATCTGGTGAGTGCTAGCCTGTGCCCCCACTGTGTGTGGTGTATGTGTGGCGTTTGTCCTTACCAGTGTACACTATATTCCAGTAATAATGTGTGTGTGTAAGTAAGTGGTATGACTGGACAAGCTGTACTGTTGAACACGCACGTTGTGTAACAGCCATTGGTTCAGTTACGTAAGCGTCCCTGCTTCTCCGACCCAGCCCCTGTCAGCCGGTGTGTGTGTGTGTGTGTGTGTGTGTGTGTGTGTGTGTGTGTGTGTGTGTGTTTGTGCACTCCTTCCCAGCAGGGGGTTCAGAGCAAACTGGAAACTAGTTCAGCTTATTGTGAGGCACTTTTTTGGGAAAAGGAAAGGGGGTGAAACAGAGAGAACTGTTCACTCGTCTCATTTTCTATTCTGATGACATCCTTTCCTTTACTCCTCTTGTTCCAGCTGTCACTTCTTTGCTTGACTATTGTGCCATTGAGTTTCCTGGCTCTAATTACTATTGGTTTTATCGTACCATGGAATCTAACCCTCCAGGGACAGACTTTCCTGCTTGTAATCTTTGAAACTGTTCTTCAATCTTTCGTTACCAAATTTTGTGTGTTTTTTGGTAGTTTTGCTAAATATTCTTATGCTAATTACTAGAAAACATACAAAGTACAAGTAGACCCTTAGCTTAATTTTCTGGTGCTAGCTTGATTTTGTTCATTCTTGGCAATTTGGATAGATGTTGTAAGAACTTTCTAGAAAGTTATGTTATCTAGGTCAGCGATGCCCAGTCCTGGTCCTGGAGCTCCAACCCAAATCTAACACACCTGATCCAGGTAATCAAGGCCTCCAGTGACATCTGAATATTGCAGCCAGGTGTGTTGGATGGTGTGGTACATCTGAGCACCCCTGATCTAGGTGTTCCAGTTTAGTGTTGGCTTTAATTCGTTTGTCCTTGGCAAGGTTCATTGTACTAAATTTTGGGAGAGCTTTCTAGAAAGTAAAGTCATCTGGTGCTGGCTTTAAATTTTGTCCCTGGCCAGGTAAATTTTTCTGGATTTTGTGAACTTTCTAAAAAGTTAACTAGTCTTAGCATTGTAGGTTTCAGGTCTTTAATTTTTTAATCCCTGGTCATTCTGATCTAACTAGATTTTGTGAGAACTTTCTAGAAAGCTTCAGTGTTCTTAGCTAGACTACTAGGCCAAGCGGATGAGCCTCACACTTGCTGCTAGCTCGTTCTTATCTATTATATCACATTAGCTTATCCTAATAAATGGATTTGATAAGCTTGTGGCACTGACCTACATTATTTCTTTTCTCTTGGCTCCTAGTGTAACATTTTTGCTGGTTCTTTATTTAACCTACATTGTATTCATTTTATTCATATACACATATGTAATAAATATAAAGACTTATTTTTCTTGAATCTCTTGCATTTCTGGTGTCGACCAGAGGAGGATGCGTTCCCCTTTTGAGTCTGGTTCCTCTCGAGGTTTCTTCCTCCTGTTGAGGGAGTTTTTCCTTGCCACTGTCGCCAAGGCTTGCTCACTGGGGGCGTGGACCCGGATTCTCTGTAAAGCTGCTTTGTGACAACGTCTGTTGTAAAAGGCGCTATATAAATAAATAAATTTGTCTTGACATTTAAAGACCCATATTCTTTAAGTTCTTTACAAACAAGCACAATCTTAGTGCCCTCATTTTCAATCAAAACACAGTTTCTTTCTTCTGCACTGTATGCCATACAAATTAATGCAACATCAGAAATTCAGAATTACTTTTCAGTGCCTCTGAATCCTCTACAGAATTAGCAAAAATGTCTCTAAATCTACACTCGATCAACAGAAAAGACAAGACATTCATTTTGGTAATGTAATAAGACTGTATGACTACAGTCAGCGTTTCAGAAAAAAAAAGAACTTGTTTAGATTAAGACTCCAAATATTAGTTTTACATATTGGTAGTATAAGATATTATAAACTCCCCCTGTGGATGAACAAAGTGGCGATTATCCTGTGTTTCATAATGCGTCCCAGGGTGACTTACATAACGCACAAACTGCCTCTGTCTTTCAGCTTCTCAGACTTTAAGAGGTGTACTCTGAGTGTAGGTTGACCAGGAAGAAATCAGACAGTCATAAAAAGTGAGATGATGGTAAATTTTATTATTCTATTTACTGTGCAAATCTATGAGCTCTCAAATTAACAGTGATAAAGGTGGTTGGCAGCTTGAAATGGACGTTACTTACCAAACACAAAATTGTAAAAAACTTTCCATCATCTTGATAAATTTGCCTCAAAAAGTTCTTGACTTGATCTACTGAGACCCTTTTTAATCAGCTGTCAGCTCTGTATACTTCAGAGGAGTCAGCTCAATGTGTCATTAGTTGGAAATCAAACTCAGCTGGGATGAATTAGCCAAGCTGTATGAATTAGCCAGGACGCCTAGCGTTTTGAAAGCTCAGTTGGCAAGGAGCAAGCCCATTAGTGAGACCCCACACCATGCTGGAAGTGCAGTGCCATGGCTTGGAGGCACTGCGGTAAGATGTGGGTCTCCCACATAGACTGTCAGTTTCATTTCATGGTAGGTGTAGAACATGTAAATCATCAGTCCTGAGAACATCAGTCCTGGTCCCTGAGTATCTATTGAGCATTCTTATCTACTGCTCTGAATTCAGCTCATTAAGGCCTTGCTAATTAGCTGATGAGTTAAATCAGGTGTGGTTATTAAAGCGGACTGCTGAAAGACCTATTCACATGACGATGTAGACAAAACAAAAACCAGGTGTGAATTTGTTAACGCAGCGGAACCCTCACATCAAGTCCAATGCATGGAGCAGACGTAAAAGGAAGAAGAAATGGATTCCTTGAGTAGTAGCAACGATTAATTTGACATTTTCTTTTAACTAAAACACACATGCACTGGGTGCGCCCCATATTAGTTCCACCACTAATACGAGTGCAGAAACTGTTCCAAAAGTATTTTCAGAAGTCAGTGCGGGGAATTTGAAGCATTGCTTGCAGATTTGCTTGGACTGCAACCGTGACAATGGAGCTCCGATTGATCAGCCTGGTTTGAACACATCCACACAATGCAGAGGTATTTGGGGACACAATCCTCCCCAAATACCTCAAAACATTAGCTGCTTCACCCACCAATCGGCGAGCTTCTGTCTCTGGTACTCTTGATTAACTAGAGTTGCAGCACTGGTCTGCCTCAAAGTGGTGCTCTAGCAGTTTGGTGGAAAGGGAGAATTGTTACTAAAACCAA